AAGCTGGTGTGTGTGTGTGTGTGTGTGTGTGTGTGTGTGTGTGTGTGTGTGTGTGTGTGTGAGAGAGAGAGAGAGTTTGAAACAGCTGCTCTTCATTCACCATGGAGCAGCCACTGGAGCTGATGCTGCAATTTCTGCCTGGTCCCCATTTAACCATTTTCCCAGCATGCTCTATTGTCTTCTAATCTCACTCATGTGCATGTGGAAAGTGAGAAGCACAAGGAGCATTTTGCTCTCTAAGCCTGCCCTCAGACGCAAAAAAGCGAAAGCAGCAGAGCAGGTTCGACACTCACCTCGATGTCCACGAGCATTTTTCACCACAACCGGGTAACCCAATGGCTCTGCCTCATCGATCATCTTACGGAAGTTGTCATGGCCACCTGAAGAAACAAACACACACACACACACACACGTTACTAATGCAGTAATGACCAGATTCTAATTTCCACCGTAGTCTGTGTGTGAGATTACTGGCCCATACTGGAAAGGGACAGAGTGTTAATGTGATAAAACACAGGCAACATCCTAACAAACCACCTCAGTGCCATCATCCATTTACACATACATTAAACAGAAAACACATTCAAACCCATCACAAATCTCCTGAACAAGTGCCTGAACAACTCCAGAGATATTTATTAGTGCCATTTGTTTAGTCTTGTTTTCATTTGCTGCCATATGACTGCAAAATATCACGATCATCTGATTTATAGATTTTTTTTAATGACCCAAGTCCGTCTTTATTATAAAACCCTTAAATCGAAATAGTTATAATCTTTTACACTCTGTTAAATATAGTGCCCTGCAGAATTACTGGCACCTTTCTTCTTATTATTGGCACCTAAATTGTCATTTGTAGAAAAAAAAGTTTTTCTACAAATGACAATTTGTATTTATTCAAAATATTCCTATATGAAGTGTCAATAATTCTGTATATAGTTTTGAGAGAAAATACTGTTTATAAAAAAAAAAAAAAAAAAAAAAAGAGAGAGAATGATTTTTATTAGAACAAAGATGTTACAGATGGATTTTATTTTTGTTAGAACTCGTTTTCACAAAGGGTGCCAATAATTCACAAAGGCAGTGTAGAAGAAGAATAATTGGCATGGAAAATGTGAAATTGTAAATTTCACAATCAGAATCTCTGCACTGCATTCTGAAATTGGGTGGGTACAAAACACGCGTCAACTGTTTAAATAATTTTGGAGTCAGATGAGTGGTGGAATGGGCATCCAGCTAACAGTTGCAAGAGAAAAACTGTAGGATAAAAACAAAAATGACGCAGCTGAATACTTGGGTTACATACGCAAGACTGTTTCAGTAACGTTGACACTAAACCACTAAATCCATCCATTTCTCATACTGGTTATCCTACACAGAGTCGCATGTAGCCTAGAGCCTATCTCAGGGAATTTAGGGCACAAGACGGAGGACACACCAGACAGGGTGCTAACCCATCGCAGGGCACAAGCACACACACACACACACTATGGACAATTTAGAAATGGCAATCAATACATGTCTTTGCAGGAAACCGGATTATCTGGAGGAAACCCTCGAAGCACGGTGAGAACATGCAAACGTGGCACGCACAGGGCAGAGGCAGGATTCGAACCCCCAACCCCAGAGGCGTGAGGCAAATGTGATGACCACTAAGCCACTGTGCCCCCTGCTAAACTCCTAAATGTTGATCAAAATGACATGTCACGTGCAATAGATTTGCAGTACATAACATTCATTCAGAATTAATATTCAGAATGAATTCATTTGCGCTGACAAAAATCCTTAGTATCTAAACACAGCTGGTGATGATCCACAGCGCTGTTGAATCAAAAGACAAATCACTGCATCGTTATGTCCTAACAGTCTGGAACCCTCGTGCTTTATACTAATTAATACCATTTGGTCCGAGTGCTGAGGTCTTGGCTGCTGAAGCACTGTATGATGTGGCACTGTTACGAAGGCGTTGGAGACAGATGTGCACTGGACTGCGGAGTGGAAAAAAAGACGCAGGAAAAAGCGAGTGATTTGTGAGGGCCACAGGGAGGAGGGAAAGAGAGAAAAGCAGGGAGAAATCTAATTATAACTGTTCCTCTGTCTGCTCATCTGAGCTGAAGAGAAGAGCGGTTTGCAGTTATTGCAAGGCATCAGACACAGTGAGAAGACACTGCATAGGCTTCGCAGACTGCTGGAGTCTTTGCTTGTTATGCAGTGCTTACTGCTTCCTGCTTTGGTGCAGTGATTGATCCCTGTTTTGAGTTGCTGCAGCTTTTTCCTACATCTACCATCAGACACGGGGGGTGGGTGGGGGGATTGGGAGAGTGAGAGAGAGATGCTCTGAAACATGGGGGGGGAGAGGATATGAGCCTCATGTTCATTTAGATGGTCATGAGTTCTCCTCCCTCTCCCACCAAATGCTGTTACATAAGCCCCTCGTGTGCATCTGTGCATGTGTTGATGTGTGCGTGTGGAGAACTCAAGACTATGTCTTGTTCAACTCAAGTTCGACATGCTCATAGTGTTTGTTTCCACACTGCGTATGCATAAGCAAAGAAAATCTTCTACTTCCTCAAGACATCCATCATCTACATTGTAGTATTTATAGCTACATGTAGCTGTACATCGCTAGTGCCTATAGCAGCCCTGCATTATAGCTCTATTTAGATCAGAACTAAATATAACCTCAGACATTAAGATCCCTGAAATACAGAGCCTCTCAAGAGTTAAAGACTGAAATGTGCAAGAGCTGACGTCCAAGCCAATCCTGTAAATAGAACTCAAAGTTTCATTTCATTCTTACTCGCTGTCCACGAATGGGCTTTATTTTTACTTTCTCCCAGACTGACTTTTGCTGAACTAGCAGAAGTCTTTGTTTTTTCAGTTCTCTTTCCACCGCTGATCAAGAAGAGAGGAGGGGATCGCTGAAATGCAAGCAAACGTGCTGGTCTGGTTGCGACAGCAGAGCACTCTGGGAACCTCGTATGCAAGCATGGAAAGATAATAAGCGTGGAGATACAAACCTGTAGGCTGTGAGCCTGTACAAATATATATATAAAAAAAAAGAATTCTGCCAGTAGAAGAGTGTGAACATGTGAGAATTTGTCTAACTGTATGCATGTGAAGTTAACAGTAGGAACCACTAGTGATCAGAAGATCAGAGTTTGAATCCCAGGATTGCCAGACAGCCACAGCCCTGCAGGGATTGTGTCCTGTTTTAAATGTAAGTCACTTTGAATTAAAGCACCTGCCAAATGAGAAAATGTAAATGTCTCTAACTGTAGGAGAGAGCATGTGTGTGTGTGTGTGTGTGTGTGCGCGTGTGTGTTAATGCTGACCGTAGGAGTAAGTATCAGGCAGTGGGACTCCATGTCCAGCAAGCTCTTGGAAGGTCCAGAACTTGTTGACACAGTTAAGGATGGCCTGGGGCCGGTTGACCAGACGGCATCCCATCTTCTCCAGATGCCTCAGAACGGTGATGTCACTGTCCGACTGCACCCATGGAGTAGGAACACGCACCACAGCCACCTGTGGATAAGACGTCACCACCTCCTGCCCCACTCGCAGACCTAAAAGTGAGACGACGGAACAAGTCAATACACACTGAACACACTGCACCTGCGTAGCACTTGTAACTTAACTTTATAGTCTTAGGTTTTTGGTTTTAGCTTCCTGTTTCTGCACCTCTTCCATTTTCTTAGCTGTCACAATGAAAGATGGATGTGATGAGTGGTTTATTGGTATTAGTGAGATGCTGGCAGAATATCGTCTCTATCGCAGTTGAGGAAAATTACAAAAGCACCAGGATTATGTCTGGTTTATGTTCTTTACACGGAGCGTTGCATGAATGACCACGGAAGAGGTGTGCAGTCTCTCATCAAAAGTAGTACCAAAAATTTATGTACAACACTAACCACCAAAAGAACCGCCATAACAACCGCGATCATATCATTTTGTCCCCTTGTATAAAACCTTTTAATTGTACGCTATAATTTTTTTTTGTACCCGCACTGCTAACAAGAAAAGCATGCAGAAACAACATAAATATAAAGCAGATTTATATCACAAATAGCCCAGGGTATTTGCAGGTTTGCTGTGTTTTTTCCTAGACAGTAAGAACAGGAAAATATCGATGCAAAAGCCTGACATGACTGCTAATAATAAGCATCTCCTCCGATCTTCCCCCGACCAAAGAAACCACAGTCCCGCCTTTTTTTTTCCCCTATTGGCTCACAAGTTTGGGGTTCACAATTTCACAGGTCAAATTTCATCTACATAAAGTTGGCTCAAAACAAAAGTAAAAGTATATTTCTTTCACGTCGCACTTCCTTTCCCTCCAAGGAGTTTTTATTGATGGGAAATTTTTACTGGTGTTTATTTTGACCGCTGTTTCAACTTATACAGTTTTCAGGTGTTTCCCATATCACCGTAGCAAGGGGTCAAAAAGCAGGATATATAACACTGGCCATGTTGCCAACTTCTCCTGCTGACCTACTGCATATTATACAGCTGTACTGATGTGCTGCAGGCCAAGCTGAACTGTTCTCAAAAAGTATCTAATAAAGGGCCAATTTGGACTAATACCCCACCTTGCCACTAGGTTTGTGTAGACACACAAAATGAGACTGACACGAACACAAACACAGACAATATCTCATCCCTGTTGACCTCTTGAAGTGCTTAGTATCACCAGATCAGTTACACAACACCACACAAACACATGGCCTTCAACTTCGCCGTTTATCTCTTCAGTGACCCACTAACCCATATCCTCCAGTTCTCTCTCTTTGTTTTCATGCTTTAATTATCATCTCAGCTTTATTCAACACCTAATATTCACCAGCTGTTTGCTTTAATTACACACTCACTATTGTACAGTTTCTCTGAGTGATAGGATCAACCACTGTGTATTATGAATATTATCTATCTTAAATTCGGGGGTTGGAACAATAAAATACCGAACATAAAGCATGCCGTTGCGTGAACTTGTGTGGCAATGAGATGGTGGCTTTATATTACTAACAATTCTGCTAAAGGTTTTTATTCAGTTGCTATGATTCCCGATATTACGAACCAATCCCATACAAACAAACAGATCTTTAACAGTACAATAACTCTATTGAGGGACAAACGGTGTCAGCTATTGTTACTTTTGTCAGCTATGTTCTGTGCTGTAGTTATGGTGAGTTAGTACATCTGCTGGAGAACCAACATACACACAACAGGAGACTGATCTGAAGAGAAAGAGAGAGAAAGGAGGGAGGGAGAGAGAAAGGGAGCATCTGTATAACCACCTCCTTTCTACTTCGCCATTTTAGAAGAAGCAGACTGTCATGGCTACAGCACAACGTTTGCACAAAGAGAGCGTCAGTAGCGCAGCATTCTGAATACAAGCGGCCTTTTCAATATGACCATTATGATCATTGTGCGTCTGCAATTAATGCAAATGTGCGCTTATAATCAAAGTTGCAAAGTACTAGCCAGCTTTCAGATCGTTCCAGCCTAGAGGATGAAAGTTGTGACAGACATTACTGTTCTGCTTTCTGACAAAACACTGACTGTGCGCATACACAAGCTGCTGTTTCGGATGCACTTGGATTTTTAGTGACGGCGCATAACCTAAAGAATACATGCAGTGCATGTGTGTGCACGCATGGAGATGTGACTGCTCAGCAATACAAGCCGGGTTAACAAGTTCTCTGGGGTTCAGAAAGAATCAGACACATTCATATGGTAAAGTCATCTGTGGCCACAACCCCAACCCCCCTCCCTCCACCCAAAACACCCCCTTCCCTTCCCGCCTTCTTTCTTCTTCTCTCTCTCCAGATCCTCTTCTCTCCTTCTCCCATTCCCCTGACACTTCTCTGCACTACAGAGCTATAGTTTAGGGGTAAAGTCCAGGCTGTAAATGCCTTTAGGTTGGTTCTGATAAAGATTCTGATTGTTTAATTTGCATTTCTGTATTGCAGAGAATATGCATGCACACAAACACAAAAAAAAGGGGGGGGGATGCATTCGAGTCTAACTATGTACAGCTCTGAAAAGAGTATTTCCTCGCCAGGAAAAACACTCCGTGGGCCACGTATGCACACAAACTCACATACAGAGTTCATGCATGTGCAATATCAAGCACCTGCACTCACAGACCTCAATTTTTTTTTGTGGTTATAAAATAAGTACATTAATTAATTAATTAAGAAAGAAAGAAAAAAAGAAAGTGTTATGTGTTCCATTACAAACATACATGCATCTATAACTTTCTATAACACTCATGTAACCTGAGTAACATTTACAGAGATTAATGTGTTTTGTTTGTGTGTCTGTGCACTCCAATCGGAAAACACACCACCAATGAAATTCCTTTAAAAATGCAGCTGAATATACATATGGAACTTGGTATTAATCATGAATCCTGGCATTTGAATACTAGCGTTATTTTAGGGTAGTAGCAGTAGCACTACACTCTGCATTCGTATCACATAAACCGTAATAAAAAACGCTCGTTTTCTTAAGAGAAGAAAACTCACAAGGAGGTAAATGACAACAATCTTTAAAGCTTCAGATTTGTTTCTAGTTACCAACACTGTTATTTGGCTAGATCTAACATTTCCTTCCAAAACATAGTAAGTGCCACATAAAGGTAGTAATTCCTTTAATTTCAGCTCCATAG